GATGTGGACCAAAAACACATGAAAATACAACCATATGGATCAAAACCACACAAGGTATCTAAAATTGGACCAGTGGTGCACCAACATTTCGTTTTAGACCAAAACTACAAAATTTTGCCAACCACAGGGACCATTTTTGCAATTTTGTCTATTTTAATACTTTTTGCTATATTTATGCTCATTATAGAACAAAAGGTACTTAATTTGTTTAAAGCGTGTTTTGTAGCAACAAAGACATGCTCAGGATCAAAAGGAAGATCTTGCGGTGCTGGAAGCGGAAAAATGGATAAAAATCAAAGAAGTCTTAAAACCGGAAAACCACATCGTGGTGATCTCAACATGACGTGGTGATTGGTGAAATCCCGATTGTATAGTAACTTGGCGATTATGTATTTTTAATGAAGACCACGTCGTCGTGGCGGTAAACCATGACGTGGTGGGTCAGATTCAGGATCTATAAATATGACGATTATTCTCTCATCCAGGAGGGATGTTTCTGAGTTGTATTCGACCTTTTGAGACTATAAAGGTGCTACAACACAGATGAGGCTCAGATTTCGATTGAATATTAGATTTTGAAGAGAATTGAGGCAATAATACTTCTTAAAACTTATTTACTTCGTTCTTCATTATGATTTTCATTGTGAACTTCGTTTTTAAGTGTTTGTTTTCAGAAATCATGGGCTAATGTAACATCCCCTAATTTCTCGGTCAGAAAAGACCGATTTAGTTTATGCTTTTTAAAATCAAATCAGAGAAATCTTTATAAAAGATGTTGCGGAATTGGTCCCCAAAACAAAATATGATAAAAGTTTGTCAAAACCTTTCTTTAAGAAATATATAATTTCATTTCATATCAAAACTTCGGGATGTCATGTACCGATACAGACCAAAAGCATAAACAAGACATTATAAGCCTTTCAACAGTTATTTACAACTACTGGCCTATAATCCAAAAATCTCACGTCATCCTCCGACTAAGCTCGGGGTCCTCTACCTGTAACATAAAAAGCTGAGTGGGTCAGGCTTGGGAGCCTGGTGAGCATATAGGGTTTTCAACCCACAGTAATAACAAACTTATTAAGTTCATCAATCAACAATAACCCTGATTACCCATTTCCCGTTATCCTCACTTTACGTCCCTAAACACTTATCACAAGGGACCTAGCCTAAAGAATATCATCGGGATAGACACTACTGCTAAGGGGTTTCCTCAGCCATACATGTCCTAAATGCAACCATGGGGGGGGATGGAGTACAGCGAATGAGCACCCAAGTTCATTAACACCTAAGGTTGCGGGCCTGCTAGCGTTTCCCACTGGACTGTCTAGAAAAGTCCATGGTCGTCATCCAAATTCCGCTAGATGACTGAATCACAAATCACATCGAGGCCTCTCATCACTTTATTTTATCACACACCAACTATCTACCCATGTTCTACCCAACATATTTGTAGATAAAAATATATATACACTTTAAAACTTGTATAAAACATCAACTCAACAGTCACCTCAAATAAACAATTAATATATTTACACATAGCACGTATTTTAAGGTAAATACTTCATATTTATGTGTAAAATGAAAGTGACTATACACTCACTTGATTTGATGATAATCGGGCAACAATTCGTTTCCTAAAACGTTCGTTTCTAATAAAACCGGGAGTTTTATTCAGAAACCGGGCTCTGCGAGGGTCGGGCTTTGAAACCGAAAAGATAAATTTTCCAGGCTTCTCGGGCTCTTCGCGGCGTATTCCGGGGGTTATAATCGATACCGGGGCTTTGGGGAATGTTAAGATGAAGAAAATATGGAAAAGGGGCTAAATATGGCAAAATTCCAAAACTAACCGAGAAGGCTCGCATACCCTTCTATTTATAGGGTCCGAAGTCGGTTCAGGAGGTGGGGTCCGCAGGCGAGGGTGCGCAGGTGCTCGCACATGGGCTGCGCGTGCGAGGCCTCGATGTCGCCTCCTGATTGGACCGCGGCCTAGGGTCCGAAGTAGGTGGTTCGTGGCTCTCTCGCGAAGGCTCGGACACGTGAAAGAGGACACGTGTCGGACAGGAATTGGACCGCTTTAGTAGCTCGTATGGCTCAGCAGTTTTTCGGACACGTGGCATGCTCTAAGCGAAGGTGACGTGGCCGAAGCCACCTATGCGAAATTTCTCGGTTTTCGCATCAAAACTTCTAAAATCCATAACTTTAGCATACGAGCTCCGTTTTTGACGTTCTTTATATGCACGCGTAGGTAAAATTACGCTCTACAACTTTCGTTTAGACTTTGTCGGCTAATTTTGACTTTAATTTTTAAATTATTATTTTTAACAGACCGGGATAGGAAATCCGTTAAAAATTCATAACTTATTCATCCGACGTCCGTTTTCGTCAGACTTTTTACCGTTGTGCTACTAATGACGAGACCTTCGATTCTCGTTTAGGTCGTATCGGCTAAAAATCACTCGATCTAAAATTCGAGTTTTTAGCTGTCTATTGCTAAGCTGAAACTTCGAAAAATCATAACTTCCTCATACGAAGTCAGATTTGGGTGTTCTTTTTATACCTACTGTCGGTTTAACGAACACTACGAGTTTCGTTTAGATCACTAAGGCCAAAAAGTAGTTTATCAAAAACTCACTTTTTACGACATTCGGCCCCGTGCCGGTTTGTCGCGAAACTTCGACAGGTCATAACTTCTTCGTTATAACTCGGATTTCGGCATTCTTTATATATCCGTAATCCTTGTCACACCCACTACAAGATTCTTAATAGATATCGGTTTATCTAAAATTTAATTTTGACGCTCATTTTTTATTCTTAATTAATTAAGCCCTAATAATTAAACATAAAACACATAATTCACATAATATTCACATAATTCTTTTTTATTTATTCAAAATGAGTTACAAAGGTTAACCTAGACTATAATGTCAATATTAATGCCTAGCCTAGAAACACGGGCATTACAGCTAAGAACCCTAACTTCTATTTAGAGTAGATGATCATTATGACTATGTGTTGATTTATTGGATTTTGGATTGTTGTTAGTTGCTTATTTGTTATGATAGCTTGTTAAAGCTCCTTTTGTGTTAATGACAACTACTTCTTATGTTTATTGCTGAAGTTTTTCTGAATTGGATGATCGTTCTTATTTGGTAAACTTGAATCTTATAAATTTGTGACTGTCAAAGTTATAAGACTATTGTTTTGATCATAAACCTAGCGTTAAATAAGAAGAATAGGTAAATTAATGTGGAAGCTAATGTGTGGTAATCATTCATGTATTGAATTTATGTTATTATCTATTAATGTCAATCATAGTTCAAGTCTAGCATAACTCGAATTAAATACTAGTAATCTTATCTATTTGTTCACCTGATCAATGCATGAACGAATTAGTTTTACTAAAGGATTACTCTTTTGATTTTAATGTTTAGTCAACTTTGGAATCGGTAAGCAATAATCAACTTAATCCATTGCACTTATCCAAGAAATCAACCATAAGAGTATTGTGAATCGAATATAAACGGAAATCACTTTAATATCTTGTCTTAATACTTAATTTGAATTGCTTTTGTTAGTTTAATTGCTTTGGTAATAATAGTTTTAAGTTTCTAGACTTGCAAAACTAGAAAAATCCTCTTTTAAATTAATTGTTTGAATTAGTTAACATTTAGTAGTATTTTAGCTAATATTTCCATTTCGTGTGTTTGATACCTTACTTACCTGAACTATCCTACTATTCGATTAGGTACATTGTCTATTGCGTATTAGTTAGTCTAGATTAGTTGGTATATTACTTAGTACATAAAGTATGTATCAAGTTTTTGGCGCTGTTGCCGAGGAACGGTTCAAATTTTAGTTAATTTGTTATTTCCTATTTGTTTCGATCATTTATGTGAAATTTATTTCACATAAAGTTTAAATTTTTTCGATTTTAATTCTTATTTTTATTGCGTAACCACGACGTGACGGTTTCTCTCCATGACGTGGTTGACGACTTGACAGTTTTTTGTTTATTATTTTTTGTTCCTTTTTACGCGTTGGTTTTTTTGTTTTTTGACAGTCAATGGGTGCATACAAGAAGCAAGTGTGCAGCGATCAAGGATCAGGACTTGCTCCACCAGAAATTCTAGCAGAAACCGAATTTGAGCTTAAGGGCCATATTGTAGGGATACTCAAGGTCATTCCATTTTCCGGAAAAGATTATGAAGACGCATTTAATCACATCAGAGAGGTCAAGGACATTGCCAATTACTTCAATGTTCAAAATGTCACGCGAGAAGTAGTTTTGCTTAGAATGCTCCCACTAAGCTTCAGGGAGATGCAATAATTTGGCTGAAATCCCTTGCATCTGGATCAATTACTACTTGGACGAATCTACGTGGAGCTTTCATTGAGCAATTCATTCCACCATCAAAAATATCCAAGCTCAAGAAAAGGATAGCAAATTTCCAACAATATGATGATGAGTCTTTGTTTGAAGCGTGACATTTATATGTTTTATTAACAATATTAATAATACAAGTTCAAAAAATAGTATTCTTATTTATATTTTTAATAATAATAATAATAATAATAATAATAACACCAACAATAAGAGTTTTGTTTGCAGAAAAATCCTAAAATTTTTCTTTACAGAAAAGTCATAATATTTTTGTCTATAGAAAAATCCCAATATTTTTGTTTAGTTTACGAAATAGTCCCAAATTTATTTCGTACCGGTTTCAACCGGTCAAAAAGGATTAAAGTCTTTTTCGTAAATATTGAGATTTTTCTGACAATTTCCCATTTAAAAGATAAAAAACAATTTCATTATAATAATTCATTATTTTTCTTATTTTTTTATAAATTCAAAGTTTTCAAATATTTTGACATTTATATTTAATTTTTTTTTAAATTAACAAATGAAATAAATGGATGTCAATACTAATATATAAATTAGCCACGGTAAAACAGGATAATATTAGTTACATGGATATAAAATTTTAGTTTTGCCCTTATTTTATTTTCACTACCTACGTTCATTTCTCTTCTTGCCTTGCGAGCATAGAAGAATCACAAACACTAAATCTAGATCGGCGAAGCAGGTATGTTGCTTGATTTCGCTCTACCTTTAACATGTCGTTCCCTCTGATTTTGTTTGCCTCTCTTTGCTTGGAACTCAAGTAAATAATCATGGTTTTTGTGACTTTTTAGGGTTTTTTTATTGGTACTGCGCATCAATCTTTTGATTTGTATTTATAATAGTTATTATTTTTGGCTGGCTCTGCACATGTTGAGCCTAACGCAATGCATGGGTGTTTGGATTGATGATTTAAATGTTCACAAATGGAAATTTGATCTTTAGTTCAATGCATATCGATTGAAGGCAAACAGACAACAAGCTGGGCCGCTAGCCCTTTAGTTCTGTGTATTTCGCGTTTTGTAGCCATTCAGTTAATACCAAAATCTTTTTATGCCGTAAATGTTGACAACAGTCGAATTCTTCACTGCTGCAATATGATTTAATTTGAAAAGGACAATGTCATTCAATTTTTTTAGGGTTTAGTTTTTCTCATCACGTCCATATCCTGGTATGCTTGTGATTTACCGATGAAATTTGTTTGAATATGTAATACCCATTTTTCTGAATGTGATTTAGTCAGTTGTTTGATTATCTTTTGCTCTATTATTGTTGCGGATTAAACGATAGTTATGGTTTTGTTGATTTAGGGTAGATTTTTTTTTTCGGCCAAGTTGAAGACGGTGGCAGGTGGTGGTGGTGAAACGTTATCTTCACAGGATTTTGGGTTACGATTTTAATTTTCTAATTAACAAAAAAAAGAAAAAAAGAAATCGTTGTTACATTTCGCCACTGATTGGCCATTTTGTTCTTTCCGCTATTGGATTTACAACCTACATCGAGCAGCTTCTTGTTACGTTATGCCACTGTCCACATTATTGTTTTGGCTATATGATCATTTTACTTTACACCACTGATTGGAAAGTGTTTAATTTTTAATCGCATTAGTGGTTCTTTTAGAATCAGTATTTACTATATTCACGTTAATTTAATTATGATTGAATAGATCTACCGAGTATTTTCAGTGGTCATGGCAAATAACAACACCGACCAAGTGCCTCCTCGTGTGCTTGTGAATAGGATGTCAGACCAAGCTGTTTTTCCGACTGGATTTATTCTCTCAAGGTATGTTAATTACTGTTCCTTTTTGCAAGTCAGAACTCAGAACCTAGTTGCAAGTTGATATTGACTTCGTTAGGTCTACATTTTTTTATAGTTGCAAATCAGAAAATTACTAGGTAACATAACTAATTGGATTTTGATAGAGAACGGCATATAATATCATTTTTTACCGTTCTATTTTATTTTTGGAACCAGTTCAAAGACGCTCACCATACCACCTAAGTGGTGGGATCAGACACAGGTTCCCACAGACTTAAGGTTCAATGTGCCTGTGGGAGTATCTTTTGAGATTGGTAAACATTTTATTGCAACTTTTTATTTGTGATATTAATTACTTAACGGTTGTTATATAAATACAATCGTTTAAATACTTTGTAGCTCCTATACCTGATGTATTGCCACAATCCATTAAAGTTATGGGATGTATTAGTCCCCTCAAAGAGGCTCCAGTTTCGGTCACTATCGTCAATGACTCGGGTTCAGACTTTGAAATTAAAGCGGGCGATCAAATCGCACGGATGCATACGTTGTGTGCAATCGAACCAGAATTGGTTGATGTCACCTCCAACTGATTAATCAACCAACGGGGAACTATTAATGCATTATGCAATGCTATTCAATAGCTGCTCCTTGATATGTTACCTTAACATAATATCCTTTCGAGTACTCACATAAACTTTGCGTGGTTTTCTAGTATTATTATGCACTTTTGAATAATATAAATAGAATAATGTTGGTGTAATGTATATAAATTAACATATTATTATTATTATTATTATATTATTATTATTATTATTATTATGGAAAAATGACACATACGACCTATGAACTTTTTAAGATTTACCATTTTAGTCACTAACCTTTTTTAGTGGCTTTATGAGGGAACGAACTTTATTTTGTCGGATCAATTACGTCATTATGTCAATTGTGAACAATGTTCTAAAAACCGGTTTGAACCGGCCGGTCGAACCGGTTGGACCGGGAACCGGGAGAGGGAGCAGTTCAACTATCACCGGTTTTATATTTATTTCTGAACCGGATTGAACCGGCCGGTTTTAGAAAAACCCGGTTGAACCGGTCAAAATAAACCGGTTAAACCTAATAAAACCACATGAAAAAGAACCATTTACATAATAAACTTTGGTGATTTTTTTCAAATCTATTTAGTTTTTTCTAAATAAAAACATATGGTAAATTTTATAAATTTTTTTGATGTGTTTGTATACATCTAAAACTCTCTTTTGTATCGGTATTATATTTTATTTTCATTTTGACGTATATGGATTGATGAAAACACTAAAACTTATGGTTATGTGTTATTTTAATGTATTTGAATTTATCTACAAATTATTTTTATATGTATATTTAATGTTTGAACTTTTAAAATCAAATTCATAATTTATATATATATGTATGTATAGGAAAATAGAAAAAAACATGAAAAATATAGAATCCGGTTCACTCGGCGGTCGAACCGGTTAAACCGGTTGAACCGGGAACCGGTCACCATACCGGTTCAACTAAAAAACCGATTTTTAAAACATTGATTGTGAAGGGGTCAGTCGGTCATATTCCTGCCACATGTGTTACTTAAACCCCCTTGCCTTGCTGACTGTGTATGTCATGTCATCTACTAATAGTTTTACTTAAATGAAATCTTTTTCCGTCCTACTGTTCACCATTCACCACTTCCAGCTCGTTCGATAAACCCTTAATTGCGTTCTGTCTCCTCAAACCTCAAACATGGATCCCATATTCATCCAAGTCGATGTTCATTTCCAAGGAATCTTTGCAAAATACCCTATACACTACACCGGGGGGATTACTCAGAGGTTGTCGGACATCGATTTCGTAGGCATGGACAAGAACAGGTGTTCTGAATTTATAGAAATGTTCACCGGAGAAAAGTGTGCGAAGCTCTATTACTGCCAACCAGATATTCATTTTCCCAAAGGTTTGACCTTAATTTCGAATGAGTTGGATTATGCCGATTTTATAGCAATAATGTATGAATGTGGTGTTATACTTCCTATGTATATAGACCATTTTGTTAATACTAACATGCATGAATGGTTGGAAGAACACAAGGAAGAGGTAGTTGATAACATAGTGGAAGAAGTTCTTGATGGTGCAGGACTAGTTAAAGAAATTGGGTCAGGCCATTTGGATGATGAGGATGAAGATGATGATGAGGATGAGGGTAACCATGGGGCTGAGGATGTGGATGCTGATGAAGACAAGGATAACCATAGTCATCCTCATTTTATCAGAAAGGATAATGGCCCTGATGTCGAAATGGGTGAGAATGCAGCTTTGGATGGCCCTTTAGAAGAAGTCATGGATGATGATGAAGATGTTTAGCTTTGACTATGGGAAAAGAAATTACTGTGCCACAGTCGTTATTGAAAAGCAAAGTTGATTTACAACCTTATGTTGATGGGGAGATATACCTGAAGCCTCTTGGAATAGTCTTCGTTTGAAAAAGAAAGAAGGGAAAGAATACGAAGTTCTTGTTCCAGGCATGTGATGTGGAGAGGTATACTACTGCTCAATATACGAACTTGCTTGTTCGTATGAATAATTGTAAGAAGAACAATGATGGGGACAAGGCTGAATTGAAGAAGGTGATGATGTGGTATGCAGAAATTCGAAGATCAATGCACCAAGCTATCCAGATGTTGACGACCTAGGTTCGACATTTCTCACAAAGGGGGAAAATGTAGATGTCGAAATTAACTGTGAGGTGTCGAAGGTCGTGGATAGTTTCGATAGTTTGAAATGTTTATTATAAGGGGATTTATGTTTCAAAACTGTAATGTCAAGTCCCTTATTTTTTTGTTTGCTTTGATCATCCCTATAAATATGGGATGTGTACTAGAGTTTGATAAAAACTTTGTCATTCCTGTCTAAAACACTTTGTACTCTTGACAGCTTAATCAAGGTAAACAGACATTATTTAGATTTCGTGTTCATTTATTTCATATAACTCTGATCTTGTAATTCATTCTCCATTTCATTACAACTACAATATATATAGGGAAATCTCTAGAAAAGTCCTAAAATTTTAGTCTAATTTATGAAAAAGTCCCGAACTATTTTTTGTTTACAGAAAAGCACAGAATACCGGCTAAAACTTCGAAAAAACCATTTTTGGCCGGTTTCGTAGATTTAGCCGGTATTCTGTCTTTTTTCGTTTGTTTGCTCAAAATATTAGGACTTTTCTGAAAATTACCCGATAACCAAAATATTGGGACTTTTTTGAAAATTACTATGGAATTAGTGGATATTATTATTAACAAATAATTTATAAACATAATTTTTTTTATTATAAACAAAGGAAGTACATATGTTGCTGATTTCTAGGAATAGAATGGTCGACTATGTACTTCTCTATTGTTTGTTGACCACTTCAAAATCTCTATGTTCTTCCTATGTATAGTTGTGGGTGTCATAGTGAGAAGTACTATGTTAGGCGTGACCAATACAAGAGTTGATAATATTTATTAATACACAATCAATAAGTGTCTACTTGCTATTAGGCATGATGCTATATGATCACGTGTTATCAGAAAAAATCATTACACGAACATATAGATCTTTCATTATGTTCTTTAACCTAACTACCACCTAACCTCCAAACATTACCCGGTAACAACCATAAAATTACACACATCTATCGAGAGTGAAAAGTAAACTTTGAATGACAATTTAAATAGATAATAACCCTTCACTTGTTTCCATATAAATTATCATTCACGGTTCACTTTTCACATTTTATAGATGTGTGTTAGCCGATGGTTGTTAACATGTAAGGTATAAATGTTGGTTGGTAGTTAGGTTAAACAACATAAGAGGAACACCAACATTAGAGGAATGCTAACTAAGTTCATCTCACCATCACAACCACAACAATGCATAGGAAGAACGTAGAGATTTTGAGTGGTCAGGAAGGAATAGAGTATTTAGACCACCAATTTATTCCTAGAAATTAGCAACAAATGTATTTTCTTTTTTTATAATAAATATTTTTTTTATTTTTAAAAATGAGTTGTTAATAATAATATCCATTAATTTCATGGTAATTTTCAAAAAAGTCCCAATATTTTGGTTATTATGTAATTTTTGGAAAAGTCCCAAAATTTTGAGCAAACTAACGAAAAATGACAGAATACCGGCAAAATCTGCGAAACCGGCCGAAAAGGGTTTTTTCGAAGTTTTAACCGGTATTCTATGCTTTTCTGTAAATAAAATTTAGTTCGAGACTTTTTCATAAATTAGACTAAAATTTTAGGATTTTTCTGGAGATTTCCCATATATATATATATATATATATATATATATATATATATATATATATATATATATATATATATATATATATATATATGAAAATACAAATTAACCACTTATGTATTGTTGCTCGACTGTAGGACTACTAAATACCCCTTGATGATCGGTATTAGCCTTATGAAATGCTTTGAGTCTAGTGATGTCCTATTTAACATTAAAAATTAGATTAGTTATACTTTAAATAAACAATTAAACATATAATAACTTACATCTTTGAAACATGCACTGCTATAAGAGCATGACCCCCATCTGTTTACAAATTATTGTTGTGCACGGACTCCTTTGTTTGTTGTCGAACGCTTTAGAAATTCGGATGATTGAAAATGGTCAACTGCATGCATTCAATTTTCACATGGCATACCCTTGGGGAAGGGGGTGGCTAATGCCCTTTGGATAGGAGTGTTCAAAAATATTTGTATCCGAAATTCCGAAATTCTGAATCCGAATTATCCGAAAAATCGGATATGCGAATTTTCGGATATCCGAAATTTTGGATATTCGATTTTTCGGAATCAGAATTGCATAGTGTTTTTCAGATTTTTCGGATAATTCGGATATCCGATATCTGAAAATTTTGAATTTAATTTATACATTATTTATTATTTTGATCACATATGTTTTATAATATGAATGTTAATAACTAAAACATATGCATAATACCCTTAATTAAATACCTATATTACTTCATATGCCTTTCTAATTTAAAAATATGTCTTTCTAATATAAAAACTTCATATTCCTTTCAAATTTGAACAAAATTTCAAATTTTCGGATATCCGGTTTGGTATCTGAATCAGTATCAGAAATTTCGGATACGGAATTGGATACCAAAAATAAACTATCCAAATTTTCGGATATCCGGTTATGAGCACCCCTACTGTCACACCCCAAAATCAAGAACGGCGGAAACGTTCTGGGGCGGAGGACGTCATGTAAAGTATCATAACAATGCAAAGTAGTAAACAAGTAACAACATCATCCATTGCATTAATAGTAGAGTTTTAATACATGTGTGTTCTTTGTAATGTAATAGACACCAAAAATGAATGATCAAAATAAAAGATGAGTCTTGTCTGTGCTCCGTCTTCTCAAAACCTGTCACTGGTACCTGTCTACTGATGACCTGAGAATACAAGTTATTTTGAAAGCGTAGATCAGCATTTAAGCTGGTGAATTCATAAGTACTTTAGTGTCATTTATTTGCATAAGTTTGATGTAAAGACTAGTAAATGTTCAATGTAAATGTTTGTATACGTTTGAAAACCCTAGAAAATCCCATATTTCCTACTAGTATAAAATGTAGTCTTCTACCAAGACCCGACTGTTTTGAAGGTTTGCTTCTCTGTATGAATGAAGGTTTTTCCCATGTACAACTATTATTATCAAAAT